CCCCCCCATCACTGGACAGGGATCTATCGGGGTAGTTGTCGCCCCCACCATCACTGGACAGGGATCTATCGGGGGTAGATATCCCCCCCATCACTGGACAGGGATCTATCGGGGTAGTTGTCGCCCCCCCCATCACTGGACTGGGATCTATCAGGGTAGTTGTCGCCCTCCCCCCAATCTACAGATCACACGTCAAAGATCTGTCAGGGTGATCTATTGGGGTAGATACAGGATATACCCCCTCCATCTGCCCCTCGGGGATCTGTTGGGGTAGATACGGGATATCAGCCAAGTCTTCCATGAGAGGCGGAGTTCTGTAGTTTGGCTGGAAGAACATTTTCATCGAGTTTCCAGATCCGTCAGAACAGGAAATGAGGGGAAATCTTCCAATGGGTTTTGGTTTTAACAAAGAGGGGATTTTCCTCACTTCCTGTTGTGTCCAGAAGACTGGAAATCAGGCGAAATCTAAGCAGAGCAGAGTATATCAGGAGAGGAGAGTTATAGGGGAAGGAGCAGAGTCCTCCAGCAGAGCAGAGTATATCAGGAGAGGAGAGTTATAGGGGAAGGAGCAGAGTCCTCCAGCAGAGCAGAGTATATCAGGAGAGGAGAGTTATAGGGGAAGGAGCAGAGTCCTCCAGCAGTGCAGAGTATATCAGGAGAGGAGAGTTTTATAGAGGAAGGAGCAGAGTCCTCCAGCAGAGCAGAGTATATCAGGAGAGGAGAGTTATAGAGGAAGGAGCAGAGTCCTCCAGCAGAGGAAGGAACAGAGTCCGACAGCAGTGCAGAGTATATCAGGAGAGGAGAGTTATAGGGGAAGGAGCAGAGTCCTCCAGCAGTGCAGAGTATATCAGGAGAGGAGAGTCATAGAGGAAGGAGCAGAGTCCTCCAGCAGAGTATCTCAGGAGAGGAGAGTTATAGAGGAAGGAGCAGAGTCCTCCAGCAGAGTATTCCAGGAGAGGAGAGTTATAGAGGAAGGAGCAGAGTCCTCCAGCAGAGCAGAGTATTTCAGGAGAGGAGAGTTATAGAGGAAGGAGCAGAGTCCTCCAGCAGAGTATCTCAGGAGAGGAGAGTTATAGAGGAAGGAGCAGAGTCCTCCAGCAGAGCAGAGTATATCAGGAGAGGAGAGTTATAGAGGAAGGAGCAGAGTCCTCCAGCAGAGCAGAGTATATCAGGAGAGGAGAGTTATAGAGGAAGGAGCAGAGTCCTCCAGCAGTGCAGAGTATATCAGGAGAGGAGAGTTATAGAGGAAGGAGCAGAGTCCTCCAGCAGAGTATCTCAGGAGAGGAGAGTTATAGAGGAAGGAGCAGAGTCCTCCAGCAGAGTATATCAGGAGAGGAGAGGTATAGAGGAAGGAGCAGAGTCCTCCAGCAGAGCAGAGTATATCAGGAGAGGAGAGGTATAGAGGAAGGAGCAGAGTCCTCCAGCAGAGCAGAGCAGATCCTCGGATGCAGACACACAATACATATCCGCCGGGCGGCTTATTCCGCAGCAAATGCTCTGTGAGCCGTGCGCGTCATTAACCCCGTCCGTGCCGGCCCAGCTCCTACAAAGCCGGTTATGTAATGACTCCGCAGCCCACTGTAATGAGAACAGACAGCCGCGCTCCTCTCCGCACAGGGCAGAGAAGTCTTCTTATGAGGCGCCGCAGTGTAGACAATGGTTCAGGCTCTTGAAGTATGCGGAGCTGCGGCTGGTAGGACATGTGACCCCCGGCGTGTATATAGGTGTATACGGCGGCGGCGGCGCCATCCCGCGCTCTCCATGGAAGGAGTTCATCCGACATCTCCGGATCCGGCTCATTATTTTTCTACAAAGGAGCTTCTTCTGTAGGGTGAGGAACAAGGCCACGCGGCGGGATCGGCAGGCGCGCGGTCACATGATCGGCGCGCTCGGACACATGGGGAGATGACACGGATCCCGCTACAAAGAGCGGCTAAAAATATCCCAGACCCACGACCTTC